TTTCTTTGTCTTGTGATTTCTCGGGTGGAACTAATTAGAAAAGACAAAGAAAAATTCCACTCCGCGCGCAAAACTTCGCCTAGTGGAAAGCCGGCTTAAAGCAAATGACAATGTCACAATTCAAGCTGTTTATCATGCAAATTTATATTTATTATGTGGTATCTATTGTATTGACTATTTTCTATAATATCAGAGAAATAGGCCGAGTTTATGTACCGTATAATTAGTACGTAGACTGTACTTGCATGTTATTCCTTCGAGTAGCCGACTGTTGTGGTATTATTTTACCGTGGTTTGGTAACAGAGAGGTACATACTTTGACATATTTCTTGATCGTTGAATTTCAGTGAAGCCAATGCAGGAAATTACACACCACGCGGTCTTTTACAAAGTTTGCAGTTGGCGATATTTCGGAAATCATAAGATCCCTCTTGTCGTTATTAAATAAATCCTTTGGGTCAGGATATTGGGTCAGGATATACTGGTCAATCTAGAAATATATTATCTTCATATCTTGTATGTTTACCGCGACGTGTGACTTAATAGACCTTAATACTTCGACAAAGCGATCGACATGTAATATTGGATGGCACACTACAGGATTTATATACCTTTTAGGAGTTTCTTTCACATTACTATTAGCGCTCGAGGTTACAAATGATATATTTTTAGTAACGATAAAAGTGTGCTAATAGGCGTGCCTTTGCTTTGTTTTGTTTATTTTTACCTTTGACAGCATCGGCAATAATTCCCTTGCCACTCCTCCCTGAGTGTTTTTAAAACGCTAATTGAAAACACCCAAGATTCTGGGGTGTCACGTGACCAGCCCCAATCAGGGTCTTTCCGCAGCTTGAGGGCGTGCGAAGGTAAGAGCCTCGGTACGAGGTTGGTCATCAGCATCCCGCGAAATGGAATCTTCAAAAACTCCTGTTATTCAGGAGTAGAAACTATGTCCAACATTGTGCAGGGGGGGGAGGGGATTTTGTCTGTTTTATTGAACCAACTTAAACCACCGTTTAATTAAACCAACTTTCGAATAGGGTGAATTAATATTTGGGTGCCATGGAAACCATTGTATATATATATATATATATATATATATATATATATATATATATATATATATATATATATATATATATATATATATATATATATATATACTACAGACGGTACCGTTTCGACCTTTTGGGCCTCATCAGTGTAGTGCCTCATCAGTGTAGCGCTGATGAGCAGGATGAAAGTAACTAGTATTAATATTTACCTTTGATGCCTCACGAATGTGGGACATCAGACCCTGCCAGAGTTCTCAAATGCAAGCAATGAGCGTACGCACAATGCGTAAGCGACAATGGCTCATTCGTAGATGACTAGACAAAGTGATTTAGGACGAAAATTAGACGGAATCTTGCATTTCAATATATCTATATTTTGTTTAACTTAGCTCAAGTGTTGGTAAACATGTTTCTAGTTAGAAATATATTCATAAATATAGGTAATTATAGAGATAACGGAAAACAACGATTTTAACACGGTTGACACGGTTGACACTAACGGTTGACAAGATGATCATATTATTAATTAAGATTAATTAATCCTGTTGTGATTGTGGTCAAAGTTCTATTGGTAAATGTGCTAGATCTTGTATTGGAAAATCATGTACAGCTGATTCCCACTGCAAATCAGGTGAATATTGTTGTGGATCTAATGGAACATGCGCCTTAAATTGTATTGGAGAATCTTGTGATTGGGACGACCAGTGCGGGTCAGGTGAATCATGTTGTGGTCGATATAAAACTGTCAGTGGTTAATGTGCTAGATCTTGTATTGGAAAGTCATGTACAGCTGATTATGACTGCGGATCAAGTGAATCCTGTTGTAGTGCAGATAATTACAGTCGACAGTGCCTCAGTTCTTGTATTGGAGAATCATGTAACTCAAATGACGATTGTTCTTTCCGGCATCCCCTCGATCAACCCCCACCAGAATACTCATGGCTCCCCTTAACACCGTGTCAATCTCAAGGCAGAATCTCCCCACCTTCATACCACAGCTAAGACCTTTCACCTGGACCAAATGATCCTCCAATTGAAATGTCCCCGCACGTCTACCTCCTCCGCAGGCCATACAACCCGTAATGAGTATGCCCATTCGCAGGTTAAAATTTGAAATCTGAGACGAAGCTGCTGTAAGACCTGCTGAATCTTATAGTGTCGATTACTCGATTGGATCAAATTTCTTCAAAATTATGGCACATCGTCTGCCAATCTTTACCAATCCTGTTTTGCGAGTATTTTCTAAATATATCTTGGCAGTTTGACTGATAAAAGCGACGAGGAGATTCAAATAATGGAGGGTTTTATAAGCACAAGCGACAGTGATAATAGACGTCGTGACTATATACACACGCATTTAAATAGTTACACTGTATAAAAGACAAATGTAAATGGAATATATTTCGTGGATAAACGGTTGTTTTGTATTAAATTGGTCTGTATAGTTATATTCGGTATTTCCCACTCATGGTAACAGGATAATTATAATAATCTTGGCGTCCATGATAGGGTAAAATATTCTTGACCAACGCACGGATTCGCCTGCGTAGCAGTCGCTTTATTTAATTGAAGGTTTGAGAATTTTGAATAAATGACGGGTTAGAAAAATGGGCGAAGAAAAAAAGGGCAAGGAAAATTCCTTCGCCCGTTTTTTCTCGCCCTTTTTTCTAACCCGCCATTTATTCAGGAATCCTCAAACACGCAGGCTACGCACGGATAATTCGATCGTATTAATCCCGCTCGGCTATTTATACCCGGGTAAAGGAAAGCTATCTGTCGTTTATCTCACTGCCTTTTATGCTATTATTGATGTACGTCTTGCTAAACTCAAGCAAGAACTGTTTGGAACTGGCAGAATTACTATCGAGTATAACCATAGATATCTTATATACACTAGATAGCGCATCTCTTTTAGCAAAATTGAAGCCAAGAATATTCCAGCGGTTACCCCCACTTGAATAGATGGCGGCCATGTTGGTCGTTCCCACTTGCTAATAAACGCTTAAAAACAACAATAACTTTCATCATTTGAATAGTTTAAAAACGTATTCGGAATAGGGTTAACTTAATGTTTAAGTTCCCTGTTTGAGAAATAGAAAACATACGAACCTTCTCATTTCATGGGAACGACCTGAGACTGCAATCACGGCTTCAATTTTTGAATTGCAGTATAATTAGATGCACTATCTAGTGTATATAAGATATCTATGAGTATAACTAATAAAGTTAATTTAGTTTAGGTTTCCTCCTAGTATAACACTGGATCAATTTAATTTAATTAAATTTACTTTAGTAAGAATATTCTAAAACGCATAAATATATACAATTACAAGAAACTCTTTTACGTTGTCAATACACTATTTAAAAACAAGAAATAGCTCAGTCTTTCATTTGAGTTTTTCGGTGAAGACTTCCAGCAAAAGACGAAATTTTGATCTAGACAAGAAGAAGGAAATCGGGCATTACCATAGCTGGAAAGAGCATCTTCAAATGAGTAAAATTGCAAAGTTCAGTTATTATAAAATAAGGAAAATATAGCCCTGTGATTTATGAAGTTCGCAAATTTTGTATTTTGAGCCGACAGTGATTATTTTTACCCAGGCCGTCCACAGCGGTATCTGGTTGGGCGGGGGGGGGGGGCTGTGAATTCAGACAGGAGCGGTATCTGGTTGGGGGGAGGAGGCGGGGAGGTAGACGTACAAAAACGTCCCAAACATTTTTCCAAACACTAGTTTTACATTATGGGGGCTTAAATGTAGTTTTTAATACCTTTTTCGACCTCAATTTTCCAGAAAATTCATTAATATTTGACACGTCCCGCAATTCCAGCATTCCAGGGCCCCCTCTCCGCAAGTTGGCCCCCCCTTTTACTTTTCTTTGGGGTGTTACACCCCCACACTCCCCAGTAGTTCCGGCCCTGCTTTTACCGCGCGTAATAAAAATATATACAAAATTTTGGAACTTTACAGGGCTATATATTTTCCTCATTTACCACATATAGCAACCAATATTAGAAGTTTTACTCATTCTAAGATGCTCTTTCTAGCTGTGGTGTTGGATTTCATTCTTCTTGCCTTGATCAAAATTTAGTCTACAGCTGCAATCACCCATTCGTTGATAAAATTTGGTGGTCGGGTTTGGCCGTCGTATTTTGAAGCCTTCCCACAAAAAAAAGGTACGGTGATTTCGTAAGGATAGGTTGTTGGCGTTTGCCAGAACGGTACAAGAAACTGGAGGAAGCAGTAACCAAACATTTTAACTCGTGAGACCAACGGAATGGACTTCAAGGAATGTGCAATGCTGTCGAAAGCTACACTACTGAAGAGTTTCTGAGCTTCAAATGTGTTCAGTATTTTTTATCACATCAGTTGAATATTGTCACACCGACGAGCAAATCAATTTTTCAGAGTTCAATTTGAACAAGGATTAACAGCGAATACGCTCCAGAAGCTGGTCTGCACAACAGCTCCAAACACTCGTTTTAAATCGTTAATAAATCATTATACACTTGAAAAGCTATATATTTTTTTATTTCTTGCTAAAGTTTTTAACTTGAGAATTAATGATATCAACGAAAGATCTAAGCTACCTGCAGGAAACAAGAATATAGACAATATAATATTTTGATTTTACGCCGCCATCTTGAATTTTTAGCGTTTTCAACTCGAAAATGCTTGTCTGAAAACGTTTTTAGCATTGAAAACGTTTTTTTCATAAGACGACGATTTTATCCGTTTTTGTGTGGACACGGCTTGAAAACGACACTTTTTGAAAACGTTACAGCTGAAAGCGCTCGGAAACGTTACCGTGTGCACATAGTCTGATTCCCGCCCCCATTCTCATTTCCTTGTATTCTGTGTCTGTAATTCACATGCAAGCTTGTGGTAATCAGCCTAAGATTTATGAACACAAATATTCAACTTCCTGGTTTCAGATAATAAAGCATTAATTTTAACAGCTGCTTACACAGTTATTTTATATCTCAACTTGAGTCAGGATTATGATTCTGGAAGAACTATTTGGTAGTTTTGTGTCACTTTTGTCAAGTTTGACAATTCGAACACCGGCGATATCGCGAGAAAATCTGCAACGGGAATACACTTTGATATTTGAAGGAAATCCTGAGCGAGACGAAGTGTACGATGGCTTAATACATCGTGAGTATGAACAAGAGACACCGACGGATTCGCCTTATTATGAAGAAGATGTATCTGTTTCAGTGCAAGCTAATGAACAACCTGGGCGAAATTTCTGCGAATCATTTCTCCGAAGTTTTAAAGCAAATATTGGACTAATAATCGTGGCTGTTTTCATATTAGGCTTGCTCACAATTGCGGTTGTGTTGGTTGACTTGAAAACCACTGACGCGTGCGTAGAATGGGTTCTGCATAAGAATCTCACTATCCCAACAAGCGTAGAGATCTTGCAAACTGTTGGAGTCGGTGCCGCATTACTACCGTTGTTTATATGGTTTCCCGTATGCATCGCCATGTTATGGGGTTTTAAAGAGTTTAGAAATAATTATTTATTACGTTTATTTCTCTCACAGTTGGTGATTGGATCCATAACATGTGTATATAGAATTTATATAGCTGGTAAGGTTGCACCTACCAATGTTGATTATAACAAATACAGGTTAGTTATTCATTGGAAGTAGGATGGGTTGGTAAATCTAAGCTTCAGAATTGTGTGAATAAAAATGTCCCACAGCCATACCGGATATTCATGTCAGATTGTCAGCAATTATTGGATGAGGTTGAACAGGTATTCAGAATTATTACGCTCACATGCCATTGTCCAATCACGGGTCTTCAGTAGCATCATGCCAGCCCGATATTTTACAATGTAGGACAGTTCATATTGGACAGTAGCTTATCCTAGCTTTTTTCCTCGTTTATCAAACATTTTCTGATGTTTTGTCAATTTCAAATGAAATGACAATTAAGTATAATGATAAGAATTTGGAACATTATGAGAGTTTTGCCTGCCAGTTTAAAATTGTAAAAGCGCGGGGAAATCTTCGCGAAATTCATTTGTTTACAACAGTCGCGAGGTTACTAATATATAGTTTTTTCATTAAATTAGTTCAATTCACCTTCAAACATACGTGGAATTGAGTTTTTTTATGCAATCTAATACAACTTGATTAACTTTTATTTAAGTTAATACAAGTCTATGGCATTTTTGCGACCAGCGAGCGAGCACCAGCGAGCAAGCTGGGAGCATCCTAATCTGTGCGTAGAAAATTTAAATATACCGCTGAGTTCGGATTAGCCCCGGCTCAAGATTCACCGATTCATCTCGGCTTGCATTCCATATTTGGAATATATTTCCATATTTGGAAGACCGCATGAAACGGTATTTCCGCCGCTGTTATGCCGTCCAGTGTTTTATTTACTCATGGATACTGTCTGATGCATTTTTATACATGTACCTTTAACTTTTGTTCATCAAATTGTACATCAAATGAAGTTTAAATTAGCATCTACTAACTGTTATTGAAGACATATTTAAATAATCAAAAAGATTAAATGCTGTGCATGAGGATGTTGTGATGTATACAAAGAAACGTCTGTTGTTTGAAAGTCATGTACCGGGCTTTAATATTTATCCTTAATTAAATTGCGCTTTGTCAATTGGTACTGTTATTGACACGTCATGCTATTCATAGAAGGCGACTTTGCGCCGTAGCGACAATATAACCACAAATGTAACAATTTGTTATGTAATTTGTAGCAAGTGACGTAATTGGAAACCAATTAGTCAAGTTCATATTTTGATAAATTTATCTAAATTGAATATTCAGTGTAAATTGGCCGACTTTTAATATATAATGAGCAATATTGGCCCATATATTATCACCACCCCTTTGCATAAACTTGAAAAGTTGTTACTGTTTTATATTTTGAATATATCAATAGACAATAATATGAAATAAAGTACCTTGTCATGTGCATGTTTATTTGACGCAAATCGTTACATAAAAAAGAAAAAACCCGACCGACCGCCCGACTTTTGGCAAAAGTAAAGGATGATCACCAACTATCTGGCCTAAACAGCGTGAGCCGGCGCGTTGTCATTAGTGACCAACGTCTCCAGGTTGCACGTTTTAACCTGTGGTTACGCCTAGTATAATTCAATAATCAGGCCGGTTTTAGAATATGGTGATGTTTTATGGTCTGGGGGTCTAACTGCTAAACAACGATGCAATATCGAAAGGATTCAAAAACAAGCATTTCGTATAATATATCCAGGACAGGATTACGAACAGGTAGTGAAAGCGAACAAGTTGACAAAATTGGAACAACGAAGAAAAGACCACTGTTTCAAGTACTATTTAAAAAACGAGCAGGAGTGTTTTATTAGGTTTAAATTTTATTAGGCTGTAGACCTAATAAAACACGACCTGCGAGTTTTTAAATGGCTTCAAAAACGTATGCATAATAAGTCAAATCTTTATATAAAAATCTTTATATAAAAATCTTTATATAAAAATCTTAATATAGTTTGCATAACAATGGTCTTTATTTAAAGTGTTCTTTAGCTGGTATAAAGACGTATGCACGTGACTAATTTCTTACTCAAGATTGGATAATTGGTTCATGAAATATTAATGAGTTTTTGAAGTTAATATCAAATATGACCGAAGAAGATCATAAGCTTAATCATTTTCTTCCTCCAAAAAGATCTGAGGTAACGGAAAGAACACTAGAGGGAACAAAAGTTGTTTATACAACTTTTTTAGTAGAACTAATAGATTTAAAAATGGCCCGCTTTTACATGCTATTAACATTTTTAATACTATGAACAACATTTAGGATAGTAAATAAGTTTAATTATAATTAAATTTTTAATATAGTTATAAACTACATAGTAATTTAACTTATGTTATTGTAACTTATGTTATTGTAACTTATGTTATAACTTATGTAACTTATGTTATAACTATAATGTTATATATATAGATAGTAATTTAACTTATGTTATTGTAACTTGTGTTATAACTTATTGTAACTTATGTTATAACTATAATGTTATATATATAGACTTTTGTTAATTTGAATGAAAGTTAATAAACTTGTATTAGATTGCTTAAAAAAACTCAATTCCACGTATGTTTGAAGGTGAACTGAACTAATTATATAAGTAACTAACTATATATATATATATATATATATATATATATATATATATATATATATATATATATATATATATATATATATATATATATATATATATATATATGAGCTGATATACGGCGAGTAATTCAACCAATCAGATTGCAGAACAGCTCATATACGGTGGATGACTATATTATAAATAGTATATATAGTATATATATAGTATATATATAGTATATATATATATATATATATATATATATATATATATATATATATATATATATATATATATATATATATATATATATATATATATATATAGAATATGAGGTAATAAGGGAAGTTTGCAAATTAACACAAGCTTAAGAGATCCATAGTATATTTAATATATATATATATATATATATATATATATATATATATATATATATATATATATATATATATATATATATATATATATATAGAATATGAGGTAATAAGGGAAGTTTGCAAATTAACACAAGCTTAAGAGATCCATAGCAAACTTAAGAGATCCATATATATATATATATATATATATATATATATATATATATATATATATATATATATATATATATATATATATATATATATATATATATATATACAGGGTGAATCAAAATAAACGCAATTCATCTTTTGTGCTTAATAACTTTCGAAATACTATTTCTAGTTAAACGCTTTTAGGCTTACTTCAAAGCCTGTTCTTTTCTCTTTCAAACAAACTATTATCCTTGTCTCCAATGCTAGTAATAATTGCACAGGAAAAGATTTAGTAAAACTTATCATTTTTAGTTGCTGTTTAATTATGCAAGTTTACTATGTTATTGTTTAGTCAGTTTAAATGTTAGAATTTTCTTCTTTAAACTTTAATGTTGTCGTCACTACATCTGGAAAACCACGTAAGAACAAATTAAAAGTATTTTAAAAGAGACCAGGTTGTTTGAAAATCCTAAACGAATGCTAAAAATCGTCAAAACATTCTGGTGTCTGAGCCAGAGTGTCATCGAATTGCGATGTAATGTAAACAGAAATTATAGCAAGTTGATGTCAGTCAGCTTAGATGGTCCAAGCCAAAATTATATCGCATTTGAAGTTTCAAACTGAGTTAAAAATAGTGGAAGAAAAGCCGTAATTATACTTATTGTTACAATCCATTTAATAAAATGCAACATTTTTTTGTTTTAATGAAAAAATCAGTTATTTTCATGAGAACGATTTGTTATTCCATCTCAATTTTTTTAATCTCCAATCGCAATAACGTAAAGTATTATTACCCGCGAACCAATGAGTCAAATTTAAGAAACAACCCACTGTTAGAAAGCTGAATGGCTACGCTTTAAAATGAATGTAAACTTTAACGTTTTCGTCTATTATTTGTTTAGCAATTTACATTTCCGTCGAGGATTGCGCTTTTTTTTATACACCCTGTATATATATACATATATATATATATAGAGCGTAATATAGTTTTTTGTTTTACCTCCAAAAACCACAACAGTCTGTTTCATCCGTATAGGAATCATCAGGTGGTGATTCCGATACCCAGCTGCGGCAGACAACATCTTTCTGCTTGCGCTGGGTATGGAAATTATATAATACACACTCTAGAACATTTTCATCTTAACAATTACGGAGTGTACAATTACACAACTTAACATAGCACTTGCAGAACTAGCATTGTTCAATGCTGAATTAATATAAACGAGTATGTTTATGACATTCAGTATATATTTCATAATTTCTAGTCTTAAATCCGTCTGACCGTGTAGCTCAGTTGGTAGAGCGTCGATCTAGTAATTCGAAGGTCGCGGGTTCAAGACCCAGCCGCGGCAGACAACATCTTTCTGCTTGCGCTGGGTATGGAAATTCTATAATACACATTCTAGAACGTTTTCATCTTAACGTATTACGGAGTGTACAATTACACAATATATATATAGCACGATAAGCTACTGTCCAATATGAACTGTCCTACATCATATACATCCTACTAAAATATTGGGCTGGCACGTGATGCTATTGAATACCCGTGATTGGTCAATGGCATGTGAGCGTATATAATAATTCTGGATATCCTGCGTAGGCCGAATCCAATGATTGTTTTATTGTTCATTTTGTGACAGTAACAAATAAAACAAACAAAAATTAAAAACAAATGAAAATTCATTAAATTCATATACTATTGATAAAGTATCCCGCAAATTTTTAATTTCATAAAAAGCACTGCTTAGATTCTTGCAGGGCTCAGTCATATCATATCATATAATATCAGTTAACTATTCTTTTTCCTTTCTCCTAAAAGCACTCGAACTGATGCTGCATATTATTTTGGTAATTAGTTTAAATTTATAACCTAGGGGCCTAAAACAAAAGCCATATGGTTTCTAGTAGGCTCCTAGCCAATCTCTTGTAAATAGTTTATTTCTTTTTTGTGCAATTTCAATATCTTGGGCGAATCAGCAAATAAATAAAATATATATGCGGAAATCCAATCCATCGAAATGTTCTAGGACATACCTTCAAATTTACGACATAAATAAAAAAATTACGATTGACAACCACTCTCACTGTAATAGGATGGTTTCCGGTGCAATTCGAATAAAACATGCACGAGTGAATTCCCCAAAGAGCATCAAACTCACGAGTGCTTGCTCTATCCAAATTTCACGAGAAACCATCCTATTACTTATTATTATTTTATGGCAAGCATCATTTCCGGTGAAATGGCAGACTGTTATTGGCTGAGAAGCACTTTCAGCGGTCCATTATTTCCCCGTAATGGATCGGCGGTCCATTACGAAAAAACAAACGCATGCGCATTTTAAAACAAAACAGCAAAACTAATTGAAAATTACAATTTAATTTGCTATTAATAAGATATCTGCAAATGGTTTTTAGTGGAAAAGCAGGAATACATTGGTATTTTTTGTTTTCTTCGAGCAAATGTGTACCACGCTACTAATATGCATTTCAAATCATGTATATTTCTTGTTTGTTTCAAGTATAAATGCCATATAATAAACTTTTTATTAACTTCGCTTGCTCGGTATGTACAGAGAAATATCGGACCTCGGTCTTATTGTACAAACCTCGCCCTACGGACTCGATCAGTACGAAAAAACCTCGGTCCGATATTTCTCTGCGCAGACCTCGCGTTCGGTTAATAAGAAGTTAATAATATGCATAAAATTGTTCGAGACAATTGTAGTTTTAACTTACGTTCCATAGAGCGAATCGTCCACTGACAAAGTCAGTTTTGCTGCTTTGTTTTATCAAATTGTGCCGTAACGGCTTGAAAGTTTCACTCCATGCGGCCGCCATGGGTTTTTTTTAACAGTCTGTGGCCATTATACTACTGCTTTAACCTGATTGGTTGATTTTAGATCACATTGTTTTTTCCAGCAATTAAATCAGTTTGTTACATGCAGAATTTTACACTGTTTTCCCAGATTTTTGCACTGCTGTTTGAAATTTAACTGCACTGAAATCAACCAATCACAGTCGAGTAACATTTTCATGTATATCATTATGCTTGTAACAAAAAATCTCCTCCCATAAGTTGCACAAACAATTCTTGACATTATTTTCTCTTTAGATTACCCGGCAGCGCCTTATTTATACTTTCCATCCCTTGTGGTGCTTATCTGGTCGCTCGTAAATTCAAGAAAATTAACCCGGCAACATCCTACGGTGTTTTGCGTATTTCTGTCATTCTTTCGTTCGCTTTCCTGGGTTCCTGCCTGCTTTCCTTTACCTATGGATATATTATTATCAAGTATTTTAAGGAAACTAAAGGCAAGATTAAGAAGGCCGTCATCGCCGCACTCACGCCAGGGTTATTTTTGCCGTTGACTGCGGTTGCAAAGTACCTTGTTCTCAGAAAGAGCTCGGAGATCATTAGCCCAGATCGTGCTTATGTACTGTGTTATTTTCTACGTGGAGGAATGATTATACTTTACCGAACGATGCAGTCTGGCTTCCAAAATATCTGGCTTTTCATTGGTTTGTCGCTCTTACATGGAGTATCAAACGTTTTGAGTAAAGGAACTCTCAACATTCGTATAAAAATTTGGACGTTTATCATTAGATGTTACAATGGAACATGCTGTGGGCCAAGGCTAGAAGTGCAATCTTTAAATTCGCCGCGTATTCGTCGATTCAACGCAGATCTTGAAATTCAGAATATCTTATTCGAGTACACTACGATCATCTTAAGTCAAGTATATTTGGCTTCATTTATCGTAATGAGCTTCGATGTCCCAGTCTGGCAAGTCATAAAAGGTTCTTTAATCAGGATAGCCATAAGTATGGCCATAGATTTTGCATTTAACATAATTTCTGGCTTTATTCAAATTCACTATTATGACATTCCCATGCAAAACGTCTGGATGAAGTATTGGCTACGTCACGTGTTTGCTAATGCGTTCATAATGATCTGCATGGTAGCTTATTTTGGAACATCATTGGTCAGTGTGTTTTCAGGCCTCCAAAACATACTGAAAGAATACAAACTTAGAAATTGTACATCAGTGTTTTAGATACCTGTCTTGGACAGTAGGTTTTCGTAATATCGCCAAACTTGCTGACAGCATTACTAAAGCAACCTATCCGTTTAGTTAACTCTATAAATATAAGTGCATGGTGACTGTACATATTTTGGTAGCATGAAGATACAATCTAACTAAACTGTTTGTGACAATGATCAGGAGGCTCTTTATAATCAATATGATTGTTATATACAACCATTTATATGATTAAAATTAATTAAAATACATTAATCGAAAAGAATCTTTTGTTTCAAATGTTTCTTAAAAATATTAATAAGGGGCTGATTACATGGAGAGTTTTCAGCCCGGGCTGAGTTTCAGCCCGGTTAAACGAGCTGAAATTGCATCACGATTACATGAGCAGTTTCAACCCGGGCTGAGTTTAGTCAGAGCTATATTTATCATCAACCCGGGCTGAAATGTCAGCCCGCGCTGAAATAATCTGAGTGTCACGAAATAGGTCAATAAGTGTGTTACGCTTCTTTGAAGCAATCAGACACTGATTAGTCCAGTATTTGACTTGTGTGAGACTGTGGTTATATGTAAAGTATTTAAAAATTAAACAAACACGCAAAATAAAGCCATTTAAACGGTTGTTTTTTAGCCCGGGCTGAAATTATTTGCGATTACATGCATGCCGGGCTGAGTTTCAGCCGGAGAAACAAGCTCGGACGGAATGCTAAAACGATAGAGATACAAAGCTAGTCAGGAGCCATGTTACTGAGGCATTTAAATGTCAATAGGAAGTCTCTGTATAGTAATTGATCTCTTAAGGCCTGGTCACACTACACGACGATAACGATACGATAAATTGTAAACACGCGATAATTGGCAAAAAAATTGTGTTAGTGTCCACACTACAACGAAAATGATAAAATTATCGTTTGGAGATAACGATAACGATTTTAAAATCGCTCAGGTGAGCGATTTTTTTTCCAGTCGGATGATAACGATAAATTCTTGAGCAATCACAGCGTGTATACAAGTTTTCGTATCGTTATCGTTGTGTAGTGTGACCTGGGCTTTAGAGATAGCCAAGCCTTGTGAATGTGGAGTAATATGGTCAAACTTTCGCGCGCCTGTTATAAATCTGGCAGCGAAGTTTTCGATCAGTTGTAATTTCTTGTTGTTTGAATTGGATCCATGTGTTGCAGGGTTGCCAGTTTGCTGAATAAATAAGCCAAATATTATTATCATAACCTTTTGTTTTCTTTGTTCGAAACAAAGACATCAAAGGGCCGTTTATAACAATGTTTGGCCTATTTATTCAGCAATCGCCAAACCTTGATGTGTTGGCCCAAACGGACGAACAAAAGAATAATTTGCTTAAGACCATGCAATGATTCTATAATTATT